GAACGTCTGTTACAACGGCTCACGTATTAAAAAATAGTCGGGTTTAAATCGGGCTCGGGCTCATAATTACAGTTAATGTGTCGGACCGGGTCGGGCTTGGACACCAGGTGCATGTGCTCGGGTAGGATCGGGTTTAATTTTTTGGGCCCGATCTAAGCTCTAATATGGACTCCTCTGAACACAGGGGACAGCATGTTCTGTCTACCTCTCTCTCCCCCCCCCTCCCCCCTATCGCTTGGAAAGAGGGGAGCAGCCCAGCGAGCCCAGCGGCAGTCACCTGATTAACCTGCTGCACCAGGCCTTGCCTAGGCCCCCCCCAAAGGTACCTCCCCCCTCTATAAGTACCAATTAACGACACCAAGCAGCAAAGGGAAGGACAAGTTTTCGTCGCAATCCCCCAAACGGCACACGACCCACCCTGGGCAACTACTTAAGGTGGGAGGGCGGTTCGCGGGGGGGGGGGGTCGGTTGCTAAATGTCCACCTCTCTGCACAGGCCGTCCTTAGGGCCAGCCAGCCCTCCAGCGCAGCAGCTAGCAGCCAATTCACGGAGGTTCGAGGCTGACGAGACCCAAGAGAACCATCTGTCTGGACTCTGTAAGGGCAAAGGGTCTCCGGACGACACCAAGACAGAGACAAGCTAAGAATGGAAACTAGAGGATGGGGGGGGTGACTGGAGGTGGACTGCAAGTAAAACACACCGGTTCCCCTGTATTAAATAGTCCCACTGTTCCCCTTTAATGCTTTTACACTCTCCTGCTGAACCCAGTATGATCTCGACATACAACTTCCATACATCAAAAGCGGCTTCAAAATAAAACCTCGTCGCGCCAACAGCTCGGCGGAATTAATCTAAGCATTTCAGAGGGAGCAAATATCTATAGATCATGGCAGCATCGTAGGCAGCGCTCGTGAACCATGCGTCGCGCTCGTGAACCGAAACGAGATAAATTAAGCACCCAATCCTCACTGAATGGCGGGGGCATTTAAATAACTCAGGGCTTTGTTAAAACCTACAAAGGCAGAAACCCCCCCCACCCACCCCGCAAATCAGGCGACTCATTCCAGATCAACCATTAGCATTAGCATGTGTGGCATGTAACGCAGCTCTAGGGCCAAAACATTACATTCATCACTGCTGAATTCATACAAGTATCAAGGCAGAACGACGAGTATTTCAGGGAGAAGAAAGAAACTGTGGAGACTTGCAATCATACAGGATTTTCGGAGACTTCTTCAACTCTGAGGTAATGACATTACAGCGCAAGATTTGAATAATCTGTGCTGAAGCATCAAAACCCTTCAAGAGAACCCCCACTTCTGCAGACCGACGTGCATCTTCTCATGCAAACGGTCCAGACTCGTCCCTTAGCGGCATACAAGTGTAATGAAGTCGAGAGCGAAAACAAGACGGCAGCTTGGAGTCAGCAACTGGGAAGCAATATCAGACGGGAGACGGGAGGCCCCATCAGACGGGGGGCCCCATCAGACAGGGGGCCCCATCAGACAGGAGGCTCCATCAGACAGGAGACCCCATCAGAGAGGAGACCCCATCAGACAGGAGACCCCATCAGACAGGAGACGGGGGGCCCCATCAGACAGGAGACGGGGGGCCCCATCAGACGGGGGGCCCCATCAGACAGGAGGCCCCATCAGACGGGGGGCCCAATCAGACGGGAGGCCCCATCAGACAGGAGGCCCCATCAGACAGGAGACCCCATCAGACAGGGGGCCCCATCAGACAGGAGGCCCCATCAGACAGGAGGCCCCATCAGACAGGAGGCCCCATCAGACAGAGGATGGGAGGTTTATGAACTTACAGGTTGTGTAAAAGGACGTTAAGTGACGTTTCACCAACCAGCTGAGTACTCTGTGACTCTATACTGAACTGGTTGGTTGAAACAAAACCTGGGTCTGGATTTGTACTTTCTGGTCCTGAACGTCCTACCTCTGTCTTGTAATGGGTTACTTTAGTGAGTAACCTCCACAGCACTGTACATAACTGTATAGGAATTGTGTGCTAATGAGAGTCATCATTCCCCACCTGAGTGGCCATCTTTCCGTAGTCGATCCAGCGCAGAGTGGCGAAGTTGGTGGACTCGGCGCAGTTGAAGCCGTGGTTGAAGCCGGCGTGGTAGCCATACGGAAACGTTATCATGAACTCTCCCTCCTCCTGGGTGATCTGGACCAGACAGATGGAGACACATCATACGTATGGAGACAGAAGTTTTCTGGATGACACAGACTTGATCGGAATGTCGCCGGTTTAAACCCCACGATCGGCAGAGTGACGTTACGGCCGGGCCCTTCAGTGACATCCGTAACCCCAAATGCTCCAGGGACTGGCTGCCCTGTTCTCAAAAATATACATCGCTTTAGATAAAAGTGTCTGTTAAATAAATGGAAACACACATACTTAGGCAAACGAGGATTGTTGGGGGTGAAATCTATTCAGCAGCGTCTGTTCTAATGCTGTCTCTCAAGCCGGGGGGGCAGTGATGTCACCCCACCATGCCCTCCCAGGCCCGATTTGTCCCAGCTGATGATGTTCATGCTCAAGATCACGATCGCTGACCCAGAGTCTCAGACACACTCTCCCCAAACAAATGATGCTTCCAGGGATCTCAAAGCCACTGAACAGGATGTGTTCTCTCTCTTTTAACGCCCCCCCCCCACCGCTGCCCCGCCAGCCACCCTACCACAGAGGCTCCGCAAGTCTCTCTCCGTCTGCCAGCCCTCATCACTCGAACCCAAACCTCCGCTGGCTGCGTTTCAGCTACCTGCCCTTGGGCTCCATTTCACACAACTGAGAGCCGCATCGATTCAGCTGTTAACGAGTCTAAAGGCGCAAGACATAGCAGGTGCAAATGTGGCGAAAACGCTCTGGATGTGAATCTCAGAACAACTGCGCGCTGGTTCTGCTCATAAAAGAGGATTTATTTTCAATGTTCAAACCGTAGATCAATAGGCTGTAATCTCACAGTCTTAAGGTCGACTAGGCAGTTCAAGTAAGAAGCTGTACGGTGTTACCACTGACAACTGGCCAGATCAGGGCGTGTGTGTGTGTGTGTGTATATGTGTGTGTGTGTGTGTGTTTCCATCGCCTCCCCCCCACCAAAAGTTTTATTAGAGAAGAACGAACAACAAGAACCACACCATGCAATCCTTCCCAATCTCGTCTTGGATCACTAATACCGCCGTGTGCCCCCCCCCCTTATAGTGGCAGCGCAAAACAAAAAAAAAAGAAAAACAAAAATCACATACGAGGCTTTCCTAACGGCCACAGACAACCCCCCTCCCACACCTTGCCTATTCAGCCTGAAGCCATACCCGGTCAAATGGGATGCCGTACTTCTTTAGGATGGACGGGGAAATCAGCGTCATCTTGTGGCGCAGGAAGGCATCACAGCCTTGGGAGCTTCCGGGGAAGAAGCCTGTGATTGGGGGAAGGGACAGAGTAACGCCACCACATGACCAATCAGGTATTTTCCATGAGACACAGCTAAACAAACTTTTTTAAAAAATGCTTATTTGCATGCAAAAACATACGCAAATTAGTTAACCCAGGAAAATAAAGCTAGACTGTTCGCTAGATGGACTGACAGTAAAACGGACTCTTTGGTTGCATAAAGTGAAGACTGGATTCACTGGAGAAGATGCTGATGCTGGGAGAGGATGCTGGTGGCTGGAACTAAGATGGACAGAAGATGTCGCGGAAATAATCAGTATAGGCTTTCAAGAGGCTGAACTGCTTTCAGAAAGTCAGGCCTGTTGAAGCCCACCGGGTCACGGACAGTCAGGCACGACTAAACGATGACCATCCACAGACCGTCAACAATGCAGAAATGACCACACCTTCACAGTCAAACAAATATTCGAGACCTCGGACAGTTGTTGAATTGAATCTGGTTTCAATTTACTGCTCTAGTATGACGTGTTTCATAAGCATCAGCGTTGCTGCCTGCAGACTCAAGCTACCTGAAGTGGAGGAAGGTTTAGTTGGGTTTGACGGTTGAAGTGTGTTAGAAGTCCAATCAACAACTGACCCCATTCAGCAACTGACCCCATTCAGCAACTGGTCTCCCCTACTAATTTTTTAGTAGTCATCGGTTACAGTAATTTTGGCAACGGTGGAGGAGAGGGTTTAAGAATGCGGGGGGGGGCAACAATTAAAAACAATGGTCAGTTTATTGGAGCAATGAATGAAGCTGAACTAAATATTGGGGGTCTCCACGTGACAACCGTGGCTCCGAATGGGGTCGCTACGGTAACGCTTTAAGTAACCAGTGACATAAGGGGCCTCCGGCTGTCATCTGAGGGGCCCCTACCGGTCCGCGGATAGAGCCGTGCCGCTTCTCGGAGCTCCGCCAGCTCACCCGCGTAAAGACGCTGCCCCGCACGGCGCGGGCAACCACCGGAGGGTAAAGGGGAGAATAAACGAAACGCGACTGATCGGCAAGCGTGGGAGCGGGTGAGGATTAGGAGAGCGTAGCCAGCAGAGCCCTTACGGAGAAGGGGGGGTTGGTTATTAATCCTCATTAACGTGGGAAACACGCTGCGGATCACTCCCCCAAAGTGTTATTAAGCTCTCGCTCATCTCTCAGCCACAGCCAGCCGTGCTCCCGGGGAAACTCCGAGAGACGACGATATCAATAACGGGGGGGAGAGAGAGGACAGCATATCGCCGTGGAGCCACATCCAAGGCCCCCATGGGTTTCCAGGCACACGAATTGCAGCCTGATACAGGAACGGATCAAAAAAATAAATAAATACCAGGTTTGCCCTAAGACACAGCATCCAGGAAAGGCAGCACCGGGAAAAGCCAGGAGGCGGAGCCTATGGCATCCCAGAGTTAACCTGGGACACATTTTCTGGCGAGGTCAGCGTTTCTCAGCCCAATCCACAGGGACCGGCACACAGTCCATATTTTTGCTCCACCCCAGCTCCCAACCTCAGGACGCCGAATACCTGATACAGGGGTGATGGGAGCTGGGAGGAAGCACAAATCTGGGCCGTCTGGGGAAACGCTGAGCCGCGTATCGAAGGGGGATGAAACCGTGGGCTGCAGGGGTGAGTGCAGTGGCCACAGAAACGGGCTGAATTCTGGTAACTGATAGAAAGGCTCTCGAACTCCGGGAGCACGCTCCCCCCAGAGGGGCTCTCTGCGACCGGCAGTCTCGCTCGTCAGTGCGCTATTTATTACCCCCCCCCCCGAGTCCCGGCGCCACGCACGGGAGCCAGACGGTGATGTCACAGAGCCACACACCCCAAGGTTAGATATTCTGCGCTTAGATACCGTTGCTGCGGAAACGGAATCTGAACGAAGTGGAGCGTCTCCTCTGAACCTTCAGCATGCGTGCCCCCCCCCCTTTGATGAGTCAGCAGACTCGGATGCCTTTTCTTCCCGCCGTTCTTTGTTACTCCGGATTTTATTTATTTATTTATTTTACGGAAAGGCAGCCCACCCCAAGGTTACCCTGGGCAGGAGGAGCGAGACCCCGAGGCGTCGTAGATGGAGCCCCCCCGCACTGAGGGAACCCCGATAGCCGCTGGGTAGGGGGGAGACATCGCAGAGACAAATTATTCGCCAGAGCAGCCCCTGAGGAAGGGGTTGGGGTAAAGCAATAAAGGGGGCCGAGGGGGGGCGCTCACCTTTGGCCAGCCGCTCCAGTCGCTTGCCATGCTCTGGGGGAATGGTGTACCTGGGCGGGGGGCAGAGGGCAGAGTCAGTACGGGTGGGGGCACCAAGGATCAGATAAGGCAGAATCTCACAAAACAAAAAGGATCGAGAGATGGAGACGGCAGGTGGGAGACAGAATCCCGCCCCCAGATGAGAGAGACAGACACGCACATGCAGGGCCAGCAGACGGACGGCGAATCCAAGGGAAAACAGCCAGTGACACCGTACCGCGCCAGCTGGCCCCAGGTGACAACCATCACTGTAAATCATTTTAAGATACATCTCATTAAAACAATAAAGCCATCAAACCAGAAAGCCGGTCTACCACGGCGCCACAAAGCTTAACATTTAACTGCATTAGCGGCATAATTACCGCCGTGATTATTTCATCTACTACCCCAACCTCAGCCCCAGCTCACAGCCCCGATTTAGCGGATGCAAATTTTACCCTTAACTCCGCAAAGCCCTTTTTACACTCCCTGAATTTAAACGCACGCCCACACCAGGGATGTGGAGACGGACACCCACTGCCATCAACTGGAGGAATTGTGAACAACAGGGGAAAAAAATAAATAAATAAAAATCTTATCGATACAGACGCACTGAGCTGAACAGGGAGGGGAACCAAAGGAAGAGCATCAACACATTAACAGCCAAACATATGCACACACTCAAAGTGTTAACTGCTACATGTGGTTCAGTATAAGACACTGGCAGTCTGCATGTTACCCATCACTACATAAGGGGGGGAAAGGTGTCTAAAGCAGGGGGCCTCAATTATTTGTCCCTGAGGCCCGAAATTCCAGCAGCTAGACAAAGCCAAGAGTCACTGCGACCAAAACAAAGCCAACAGAGGGAACCTCCATCGATAAAATCTGCCAGCTGGGCCGGCAGTTCAACTGCGTTTCACCCCGGATGCAGAGCTCCAGTTGGGTTCCAGGGCGGTTCCAGCTTCACAGCCAGTGATCTAAGAGCTCGGCCACCAGCTTTTATACGGCTTAAATTAAGCATCAGTGCCTAAGGAGCCTCAGCGGGCGGCAGCTACTGACTGTGTGTGTCTGTGTGTGTGCGTGCGTGTGTGTGTGTGTGTGCGTGTGTGTCTGCATTGCTTGTTATAGGGTCACAGAGTCCCCAAAGTCTCTTTTAATCACCAGGCTCACAAACTGCACACTCACTGCGTTAAGCAGCATGACCGAGTCCCTCGCTGGAAAAAACCCAAAAGCCGCATCTCACTGGGCGTCTGAGTCTCTGCATCTTCTGTTCCCACAATAAACTGAACTTCGACAGGCCTCTGCCGGAATGCCACGATATAGATTCCAAAATATATCCACGCCGGTGACATGCATCGAAGCACCAAAACGAGATAAAACACGGAAAAATGACAGAAAGAGTAAAGCCAGCTGAACGACGACGACAGCACCAGACAAGTGTGGCTCAACGTGAGGGATTAATGCAGCTGAAAAAGGCAATAAGCAAGTTATCCTGTGAACCCCCCCCCCACCCCACGAGGAAGAATCACAAAAATATACATCTCTGCTTGCTGTCAAGATCCGTAGCTCAAAATTAATCAAAACCGCCCCGGTGAGCGGAAGGACGAACCCAGCATATGAATGTGTGTCAGACAGCTGTGCAGGGCTGGGGCGCCGGGGAAAGACAAACAGCAGGCCAAGGAGGGCAGGAGAGGTAATGAAGCGCCGATCGAGCCACATCCTGTCCGACACACACCCTAGGCCTCAGGGCCAATGTACAGCCTCAGCACCATTATAACCGGGGTATAATGAACAGTGTTTAGAGCATAATGATAATGTAATAATGGAGACTTAAAGCATGGCCGCTAATCTGAAGCGAGGGGGGGTTACTCTGCTTACGGCTCGGACTGAAACATGTCCCTACACACACCTGCACGGCTGCTAACAGCTTATTTATACAGAGGCCTCAGTCTTTGTTGTGGGCGCTTAAGCATGTCTGGGTGTATATACGGTGCACTCCATTCCGGTGTCGGTCCCTCTTTAAGCAACCCAGGCTGATTGCCTATGGCGCCATCTTCTGGGCGGATGCCAACTTAGCAAGCTGGTTTCACAAAGCGTCCTACAGGGGGCGCTGATGGTGAAGCTTGCCTAGGGAGTATCATGGGATTCCACCGGTACTGCACCGGACTAGGAGTTGGGAGAGGGGGTCCAGCATATCTCATGGAACTGGGGCATTATTAATACACATTATGAATCTGAATAATCTATATACGCATAAAAGAATATATCCATGACTTTAAACAACACACAAACAGCTGCAGTATTTGACACAAGAGTGTTTTTATATTCAGTGAAATCAGACCGTTATAATGTAATTAACTAAGGTAATATTCATAACACATAACTTTATAAATATATAGCTTTATAAACCAAGAATCACATAACAAAAAGTGCTCAGTATTTACTGAAAAGTTAGCAAAAAAAACATGAAAATTTTGCTAATTCCACATTAATTTCAAACTGCATGGTAAGGTTAATTAGTGTATAGTACTGCAAGAATATAATATTAATAATCAGTTTAAGGGTTGCCATAACAAACAAATGAGGGCATTATGGGAAAATGGCAAAATCTGCCCAGAGAAGCAGACATCTAGTGGGTTAAAAAGTTATGTCACAGATCACATTTTTTTTTTTTTTACCAGTTTCATTCGTGTTGCCCTTTCAAAGTGCATTCCCAGTGCATTCCCAGTGGAATGGTGGATTTCACTGGTCAATAATGTGCGGTGGAAAGGATTTAAAGGCAGCCTGTTGAGAAAATGAGAATTTTCTACCCCCTTACCCTTCCCAACACGCAAAAACCTTGGTCAGTTAAGTGGATGAGGTAACAAAACAGAGGCTAGTTGCTGTGCAGTTACTAAACACAAATGACACTCCATGGAGAAGTTACACAAGCATGATTAAAATATCAAAAAGAAAAATAAATGCTTTAGACAATCCTATGCCCTTAAGGGGTAATTCTTTTCTAGTGAAAAATTGGACAGAAAAATGTGGACAGTGGCTCCCCCTACAGGGAACGTGCAGTAATTGTAGCTGTCTGCTTTGGCCTGTCTGTGTGGATCCCAGCTAGTCTTCAGAAGAAAAAAAAATACTGACTATAGACAATCTGGCAACTCCAACTCACCTTAGCATATTTTTGGACTATGTGCGAAAACACTTTTCCAAGGACAAAAAAACGGTTCAGTTCCAGTTCACAAATCTATTTTTGAATGGATCTGTGCATTTCCACCAAAAGAAAAACAGGTTCCAGACCAAAGAACGGTTCCCGTCCAGAACCAAGAAATGGTTGGTAACTCAATGGGAACTGTGATAACATCATGAATGGGTGTGTACAATTCTTCCAACAGGCATGAAACAAACATAGAGGTCTCAAGAAAAAACAAAGTATTTGGTTTTGATCTGGACATCAATCGAATTCCAAACTAAATGTGAAAGTACTACACAAAGGAAATGTAAACTGCATGCTGAGTTAGCAAAGGCTGGACATGTGAAAACGCGTCATCAAATAAGAAAAATTAAAACACCCACTACTGATGACGTGACAGTGCTGACTGCTGAGACTGTGGTCCAATTTCGGGTTGGCATCTGTTTCTGAAAGGAACTGTTTTGGGAACCGGAACAGAACCAATTATTTGCTGGTGGAAATGCACTACCAGAGAACCCGAAGGAAACCCCATGAGAGTTACTGACCATAGTGGTCATCAGCATGCTGCTGTGGGTCTGAACCACAGAGGGGACTACAGGGACACCCCCTTGAGTGTCACACAGGGGGCCTCGCTGGGACTTCTGGATAACTTTCACATTACATGCGTACTTCCTTAACCGAAATGCTACCCTACTCACCTCCACCTTAATCAAGCCATCAACTAGGCAGATAAACACCACCAGGAGGTCCAAGGCCCCCAAACAGTCCAGCGTGGCCATTTTTAATATGCCGCGAAGGCGTCTGGGCACGTAGGAGGTGATGAGTACGGGGGAACCTGCCAGAGGTCCCCCTCACAACTCCAGGCCGAACACGGATGGAAGGATTTCGCAGCCATCTCCAGACGGAGGCTGGAATATGTCCCGCGCTAATAATCCGTCTATAAATAAAGGCGGTGTGGGCGCCCAGGCATCCGAAAGAGGTCCAATTAAAAAGCCATGGAGGTATCCATGGCAACCAGCAGCCCAGCACTTGGGCGAGAAGGAGAGCGGTGTCGGGGCACTGACATGGCGACGGACGAGTCGGCGGTGACTGGTATCGGACACTGCCCACGCCGTCCCCGCCAGCCGACCTTCTCCACGCAGATCACGCATAGAGACATCGGGCACAAATTAAGAGTATGGGAGCACTTCCAGACAGTCCTTAAATCCATTCCAGGGAGTTTTTACCCAACCAGAAACTCCAGATGACAGGACGCAAGTAGGTGGTTCGATTTGGAGGGGCGCCGTGGTGGCCAGCAACAGTTATTACGGCTGATTCAGTGAGGCAATCACGTCACCCACCGAGTTTATAGTGGATATACCAACCCACACAGCTGCTGACCAATCACATGCCGGCACCTGCCCTCCACTCTCGTCTCCTCGTGAGGCGACTGTAAATTTATTCAGGGCCAAACAGATAATCTTGCATCACCCAATGAAAACACCCAACTTCTTAAAGACAGACATTGTGAGCTGGCGTTCTAAATGACACCAAATTATGCACAGATGCCATGGAGACGGCACGAACTCAGCAATGCACCTTTTCTGAATGCTATCTATTAGCGGTTTGCTTTTTAACACGGAACGCTAAATTCATCTTTTCATATCTGATCTGCATCGTGCCAAGTTGCTTTGAACAAGGTGCACGTGTGCAGGCAGACACACAAAGTGGTCTCTGTGAGTTTGTGGTCGGGGGGGGGGGATGCATTGGCAGGAACCGAGGGGGAGGAGGGGGGAGAAGCAAGAGCAGATGGCATGTGAGCAAAGAGTAGGAGCGGAAAGCAGGGACAGAATGAGAAAGGGGCACAGAGGGGGGAGTGAGCCGCGATCAGGAGCCCCCGCTAGGGGCCAACCTGCTGTTTGCACACACCCAAGCGGCAGAACTGCCAAAGGATCCATCGGGTCCAGAAAAACAATCACCCTCTCCGACATAATTCACTTAACTACTCGAGTAACTGAAAAATGGTTTATCTGACCACCTGGGGATATTACATTTAGTTAATTTTCCCCAATTCATTTAGAGAAATATTTTAAAGGGATCGAGCGGCATGCATGTTTGCAACGTGCTTCACTTCGGACAAAAGTTCTGCCAAGTGTGTAAATGTTTTCGTCTGACAAATCACAGAACAGCTACACAATAACGTGTGATTCTTACAAGCTACGACTGCACAGAAGAACAGATGCAGGTGCACATTCCAGACGGGACACCAGAAGCAGGGAACAGAAGAAGGTGTGGAGGAGGAAGAGTGAGGAGGCACCATGTGGATGGAGGAACAGGCCGACTGAAGGGTGGCTGCAGATCTGGAAAACGCAGCACACCGGACTTCCTGGTCACTGTAGGGTACGTGGCCATGTGCCCCGCTTGGCTTACCGCCATCTCACTCGTAATGCGCACACACACACCATGTGACCAAATCCCACCAATCCTGAGACACTAACAAAAGGAGACTCATGTTCTTACTGCTTTACGTGACTAAATCCCCCCACTGGGTTTGTCACATGACCTGGTTACGGGACCAAATCGGGGCACGAATCTGAGGCACATCACGCACATTAACCTCATAACTAGTTCCTGCCTGATGACACTTCACGCCCCTCCATACAGCACTGATAATAAAGCCAGACGACGAGTACAGCTAGAAGCGACAGCGTCACACGGCACTCTAGCGACCCCTACTGGCTCCTCACAGACATCGGTCGCATTCCTCCACCAAAATCCTCACGCTCTGTGTCATTGTAAATGCAGAGTTGTAAGCTTGTCTCAATACTGTAGAAAAGGCAAAACTACACACTGCCACCAGTCCAGTAGCTGGACAAAGCCCCTGTGCAGCATCACATTAGAGTCTCACAGCGGATGGGTACATCCAACGCTAAAAGGCGCAGGCGATCTTCAGAGAAGCGATCCAGCAAATGGCTGCAGGCCAAATTAAGCAACACGATTCAGGCCTGTTATCAGGATACACAGGAACAGAGGAGCCAAGCTAATGCAAAATAAAATGTAAAATGGAGACTTCACCTGAACCAGGGAAATACAGTCGAGTTGTCAGAACAACAGAATCACCTCAGAACATGCACAGTGAGGGGCGTGGGGGGGCGGAGCCAATTCACATGCCACAGGAGTCTGAAGCCAAGGTCCACAGGACTACAGAATACCTTCTAACTGCAGGCCATCAGGTTTGTGATGGACTCTCACCCATTGCCCCCCACCCCCAATTTTGAGATATAATCAACCCCTAACCAATGAGGTGCTGCTCTTTTTCCTTGTCCTAAGCCCCCGCACACAGGAATGCTCAGCTACCTACCACTTGCTCATCTCCTCCTTTGCAGTTTTTACATTCTGTCCACACTGCACTGTTTCTACCCATTTACTGTTGTGACCAGCTGGAAGGACATGCAGAGTAAGACTGCCATGCCATGGGGGGGCTGACAGTATACTCGTGAATCACAGACGAGAGAAGAAAGGGGGGGGGGGAAGGAAGAGATAGAGCGAGAGAGGAAGGTGGAGAAAGTCTGAAAGGACAGAGCTGAGAAAAGTGACAGATCGCGAGGACATCTCAAAGGAGGACAAACTAAGAAGGAAAGGATGATAGGAGAAGAGGTGAATGACTAAAAGGAGGAAAAGAGGAGTGAAGGGGGGGGGGGGTCACTTACCAGGACTTGGGCTCCCCGAAGTGCAGGTAGTTGATGCTGTAGAGGTCCATGTCCTCCGTGTGCCAGGCGAAGGTGGTCTTCCACATGCCGAAGTAGAGGTAGGGCGTGTTGACGCCCTCGATCACGATGCCGCACTCCTGCTCCACCATGTCCAGCAGGGTGTTCAGGTGGCCGATGTTCCACTCTGAGATGTCCTGTAGGGACAAAATACTGTAAACACACTCTCAGCCAACAGGAAGAATAGTACAGGTCAGAGAAGCATTTAACTTTTAAACAATAAATCTGGTGGTCAGCATTGGTTAGTGCTGTTTTATAAAAATCAATTTCTGACATGAGACCCTGACATGGCACACGTCAGGACATTTAAAGAATGGAGTACAACATTTCATCAGCAGATGGCGACAAAGCAGCATAACTGGCACTCTGACATCAGCTTCTGCTTGGAAGGTGAAACAAAAGCTTCAAAAATGTAGACAAACATGATTTACACTGAAAGTCAGCTGCCGAAATGAGCTGTAACTGACCGATTCTTATGACAAATTTTACACAATATTACAGATAATTACTAATGATTTAAAGTATATATAACTCCGATCACTGAAGGAGTTGGGGAATAGCGCAGGCGGCCAGTGGAAAATAGCAAACATTCACTTAAAATTACGTTAATTGGTTAAATTTCTTGTAACCTGGGATCTACGGTACACATGACCCAGTTTTGATTAAATCTGCAGTAGGACAGTTTTTTTTTTCCACCCAAACAGAAAACACCAGTCTTCCCATTTTTCCTACTGGTCTGAGCCACAATGCAGTATATTCACGCCTACCAGGACAGCATGACCCGTCAGCAATCCGTTTTTATTCACTGTACCACAACAGGCTTCACTGGCCGCCATGAAGGGGGGGGGGAGGGCACAGTGACGATTTCACCCGCAATCCGGCAAATACCCAGCCGAAATCTCATGCCATCTTAGAGCAACGAGAGGCAGGAGGTGTGGCCTGCTTGGGTTTTCCGTGAACCTCCATACCATGGAGGGGAATGGCGAGTGACATAGCGCAAGATGACGTTAGATCACTGGGGGCAGAACAAACGCACTTTACCCAAACGGCGGGATCCCCAAACTCACCGCGTCGTACAGGGAGCCACTGATGTCAGCACCATAGATGGGTGAAACAAATGTCAAGTTTTTCCAGTACTTCCTCTCCAGGTCATCAAAGTCTTTATGCCGGGGGGTACAGTACCTAAGGAAAGCAGACCGGTCAGGAAAACTCTGCAAACAGGCCTGCGGTTGTAAGATCCTCTGGTCTAAACACCCATGGGATGGAGTCGCGGCTCTGAGGCTGGGGAGGTGAGTGCACAACCATGTGGAGGGTACAGGAAGTTAGTTTCAAGGAGAAATTACATTTATACAGAGGCAATTCTAGGGACACCGGGGGCCCTAGAACTCCATGGGGCCCTCCGACAGGCACCCCGGCCGACATGGCAAAACTTATGGCCATTATTTTAGCGCAAAGTCTAAATTATTAATATGAACAAAGAAAACTTAATAAACGCAATTCATTTATTTTCACATTACTGTGAAAAACAGGATACACGAATAAAGCAGATTTGTCGTAGCAATGTACTATGTGCTCGGCCCAGCTGGGGGGGGGGGGGGGGGCAGACAATCGCCTGCCTTGCCTGTCCTTGTCCCCATGCATTTATATTTTTGCAGAAACAGGAGAACCTAAATTTATGGTAAACAAGCACAGGTCACAAAATGAGGTTCATTTCAAACGTTATATCTTCCCTCAGTACAGTATAAGCAGAATAAAATGACAAAACAACAAACACAAAGGTAATAAAAGCTAAAGGATGCTGGCCTTTCATCCCCCACAATGCACTTCTGCTGCTGCGGGCAGCTGGAGGGAGGAAGTCAGCTTGATGGCGCCCGCTGACCCAAGCAGATGGCAGCTTCAGTGCCTGGTGCAAAGTGGCAGGGGGTGTGGCCTACTTCCAAGCATAGCCCGGCCTTCTAGGCCTCACTTTTTACACTGATCCCCCCCCCTGCCGGATCAACAGCCAGGGTGGCGGGGGGGAAAGCACATCTCCAGACCACCTGTGTCATGACCGGTGACACCTGGAGCACAATCTCCTTCAATACGATGTCACACGTGCCGCTCGTCCGGCAGGCTGTCCCTGAACCTGCCCATCTGAGGCTCCCTCGCTGACAGACTCGGCCATTTACCGACAGCTTGGAGACCCCCCCAGTAGTCAAACAAACGACGGTAGAGCCTCGCAGAAACCGGACTCCCCATTCCCAGCCACTCACTTCTCGCTGTTGGCCAGCTTGCGGTACTCGCCCACAGTCATGCACTTCTTCTGGATGTTGTACTGCGTGAAGAGACCCGACTGGCCGGTCACCACTTGCATGATGGGCGCCGGAATCACCATGTCCTCGATGGACTCGTAACACTGGCGCGGCTTCCACTCTTTTGGAGGAATCACCTGCACAGGTGGGGAAGGCAGACAAGGCTACATCACCATACCATAGCTGTGTTAAAGACAACGTCCATTAGAATTAGTCATGGTGTTGACCCCTGAATGCTAGAAACTAGCTTTTGATTACATGGCGACTTAATTTTACATTTAACCCTAGTGATCCGGAATTAAGGCAGGATTATCATGCGCTGTCGTTCTCTAATTGCTTTAAATGCAATAGGACCTAGTGGTGAACCGATGTGGAAATTTTGGCTGATAGCAATAACATAAATTTTTGCCTAATATTACCAAAAGTGATAATTGGCTAACCTCTGGGCTCCACAAATCTGTAGTGAAACTGACATCAAGTGCTGGCGATGTTGCTTCTTAAGATCCCATGAATGTGTGAGGCAAGCACATCATTTAATGCACGCAGTGAGACTTCAGCAAAGTAGGGCCAAGTTGGGAGACTGCAGCGAGGTTCTAAGTGGCGAATGAGCCGATGGAATTCCTCGTCCTCCACTACGGAAAATGGCTGATTGAATTGGACGATCATCTCCATTATTTTAGAAGTTACGTCTTGAGCTCTGGTGCTGCTAACTTTGGATAAACTAAAGTCTAAGTATCGGCCAAGACTGACACATTGGTGCAATGCCGACGTCTCCATTCTAAACAAACAATCAGCCAATATCAATGTTGACCGATAGTTTGTGCATGCATTTCTGTAAGGACCCAATGGGATACACTGAGAGATGGGTCAAACCAGTCAGTAACCATTAATGTGCACCAACCTTTACCCACTTAATAAGCTTCCGTCTCTTACTGCCCATCGACAGAGTTGGGGACTTCATTTGTCCCGTTACAAGTTTCAGGTGGCTGTATACTTCAAACAACGCCCACACAAAACGAAACCGAACACATAGGCGAGAGCAATCTGTCACATATTTCAAACGACGCTGCCACCTTATTTGTTCCATGTCACGACACAACCCTAGGGGGCGCTGAATGTCTGTGCTACAGCAGACCCACATACGGAGCGCAAATAAACATATTGCGGCGAGTGCGCAAGTCGTTTTAATGAAGAAGATGACAGCTCGTTTAAAGTGCCAGCTATTTTTTATTCACTATTAATTCAATATTAGTAGTGACACAGACAGGGAAGCCAACAATTTACATGATACTGACGGTTACATGCTAATGAAACACACATTCCACAGCAAACATTACACGGTTACGACATTTACTATTATCAGAAATACACGAATACACATATTAATTTATACTATTTCAAATGCGTTCCAGTGCAAAGCATGCTGGTAACTGCATGATTAGTCTTGCTGATCAACTCATTGGTGTCACATTTATGACAGCCAATCGTGGACAGTGGGTGGGATCAGAACAACCGAAAAAGTTTGCCGCGGGGACCCTGCACGGGCGGTATGCCGAAAGGGTGTTTACCGCGGTTATCACACATCATATGGTGTCGTACTGCGGAAACGACATCGATATCCAGTGCTTTCGTTTGAAGTACACGGCCAGCTTTAGGGTCCAAGCCTTCCTCAGGTAAAACAGACCCCCCAAGCACGCCCTCGGAACAGGTAGACGTATCAGTACCTTGGCCAGGCCAGCGCGGTGCGCCCCCTGAGATTCCATGTACGTGATATACTTGGCGAAGTCACGGAACTCTTCCATTGTGGGCCGGAAGGTCAAGATCTTGCAGCCCGGGTTCTGCGCCATGGGGTTGTCCAGCGACATGGCCTCGGGGGAGGGGGGGGAACTGCAGAACGAGGAGAGACCGACCGATGGGCGGGGTGTCACCTGAAAAGAACTCATGAGAACTCAACGGCTGCTCTAAAGACGGTTCTTTGTTGTTTTGTGGGGCAGCCTGGTGTTTAAAGACGTCAATGGCTGGTAACCCAAGGTGACCCTGATGAAGGTACTTCAGACGTTTCAGAATTCATGATGGAAGCGGTATGTTAATCGCTTTGGGTAATGTGCTAAATAAATGTACATAAAATATGAAAATAAGATCAATTAACGCATTTGCAAACAATTATCAGCATGCAAAAGCCAATGGCATCTATTGAAATATATACATGTTGAAAAATACTCAATCCCAGCACAAAACGCCTGGCACACCAAACCTGATTTAATCAATTTAGCCCCACAGGATCAACACCCTTCATCTAAGTGAAAAGTCACTTTAACGACATTAATTACACCCACCAAGGTCTTTCAGTACCCCGAAGGAACAAATCTGGAGGGGTAAAAATGGTGGTGGGGGCGGGGGGGCAGAGGTCGCCTAGGCAACAAGTAGAGACTGTTTCTTTGGCGTGGGGTAAACACAAGTGCCTTTGAAGCCCCCACTGGAAATTTCAATCCCTGAGCAGGGCTATGCTAGGCTACAGCCCAAATGCATTTATTTAATAATCATAAACAACAAGTTGATTTATTTAATTGGATGATACTAATGGGTTCCACTCACCATCCCTGGATGAAAGCTGGAACAAAATACTATAAACTGTCTATAAATAGCAGCTGTTCCTTTGTGCCTTCAATCAAAGGGGAACAAAGAGCAGGGGTGGAACTACAAAGGGCACAAAGTCAATGGTATGCGAAGCCCCTACACAGTGCGTTTACATGTACAGCTAAGTCGAGATACGGTTATAGTTCGACTAAACCATTTAAATCGGGCTATGGTTCTTGTCCCAGTATACATGCATGGGAGGGGAATCGATTTATTGCCCAAAGTATGTTTGACTCAGATACAATAGGTGCCGATATAGTTCCTTTCAGCTTGTTAGTATTGGGCGTTTTCCAGTTGACCTATTTCGACATGTGATGTTGGTATTAATACCGCATGTCGTTGAGTTCTACTACAGCCATTTTTCGAATTCAGTACAAAATACCCCACTTTGCGTTGTGATGTCGTTCAGCGCTGGTACCAGTATTTATGCCAGTGGAAAACCAACACCCTAAAGCATCGTACTTTTCGTACCTTCTTGAAGTACCAAAAATACGGTACCTGATGCGGTGGAAAAATGTCTTTTAGTCGAGCACTGAATTGCGCAGATTTACAACAATGTACAATTCGTACGTGCTGAATGTCTGCTGCTACGCTCCAAGCGTCTTCTGTGTACCTGGTTCTTCTGTTACTTCTGGGTCAAAGCGGGGGGGGGGGGGGATCGATGACAACTGTGGAGCATGCGATGAGTGCCTAGGCCAGTTTGCGTGCGATTGAACGTTCTGCAGTAAATTGATTCCCAATCGCATTAAGTGGGTGACTTTGAGAAATTCGATTTAGTACGAGTTCAGTCGGACTAACATGTATACGTTTACTTTAAAAGTACAACACAACTATTCGATTTTCTTCGTGTGCATGTAAGCATACTGACTGAGTGGCTCTTATCTGGATTGTGCGGATCCCTCCACAAGGCAGGCGGAGGGGATTCACCCGGACACAGCGGCAGCAGACGTTCCACACAACCAAGAGGTCGCGCCTCGGAGACGGTCGACGGTACTGCGAGGGCAGCACGCACACCCGGGGGCTGGGGTCCGGCCGCGGCTCAGCGTCCTTCCGCCGGTGGGGGGGTGTGAAAGCGTCCCAAGCTGCTCAGCTGCTCCCGCATCACATGGACCAGCTATGGGGATATCGCACAAGACCATGAGGATGGTGATGCAGGTGAATGTCGTATGAGGATGGTGATGCAGGTGAATGTCGTATGAGGATGGTGATGCAGGTGAATGTCGTATGAGGAT